GAGAGAGAGAGAGAGAGAGAGAGAGAGAGAGAGAGAGAGAGAGAGAGATGGTTGATTCAAGGTGAATTTGTCGAGTCTATTGTTCAAAAAAGAGAGAGAGAGAGAGAGAGAGAGAGAGAGAGAGAGAGAGAGAGAGAGAGAGAGAGAGAGGGTCGTCATCATTCTTCCTCAACTCGTAATTCAGTTATATCATAACCTATAAAGGGTGTCTACAAGCCCTTGTGTACATGCACCCGGTATTCCCAAGAAAATTGGTCAACGAACATTGATGAGAAGCGCCACGCAGTGGACTTGTGGCTAGTTGGTCTCACAACACAACACCAATGCAAGCACAGCTTGCACGCCTGCAAGTATACACACGTACCCTCTGTTACCTCTGACCAACGTCTGGCTGCGCTGCTTTGCTAACTCAGCCCTTGTGTGTGACGTACTACATACACGCATCCGGACAGCGGACGTACACGAGGGCTAAGTTCCGAAGAAAGGGTGTCAAGAAGAAAGGGTGTCAAGAAGAGTTGTGGAGAGGGGGACAGGCAGTGGACTTGTGCGGCACGTGGGGGTGCTCAGACGGCAAGGGAAGCACAGCTTGCAAGCCTGCGAGTATACCTACCTCCACCTCTGTTATCTCCGACCAATATGTCTGGTTTAGTGGGGTCTAGGTGGGGTGGTTTTTTTTTTCCCTTTCCTTTTTTTTTAAAAGCTATATTCTTTTCTTCTCTCAATTTCACCTCACACTACCTAGTACCTACCTTAGCTACCTACTACCACTACTCCTAATTGTAGGCTTAGGTTTAGTGGGGTTTAGGTGGGGTGGTTTGACTCCTACGTCTTGGCTTTTTCCGAAATTGCAGGGCCCTGGATCCATTAGCAAAGAGGAGCGGTTTCGATATCGGAATCTGAACATGTTTGTGCAGAGAGGGAGAAAAGTTGCAGTTGATCTGCTGCTTTCCTGCATCTCTGCGCAAAACACATCCAGATTCAGGAATTTAATCCAATCCTCTTTGCTAATGGGACCAGGCCCCAGCTCTCTGCATGCATGTGGCACGTTCGTCCATGAGTTTGACTCATGATAGGTACGCAGTGGCAAGCACCAGGCACCAAAAAAAGGTACCAGATAGAGGCAAGCACCAGGCACCAAAAAAAGGTACCAGATAGAGAGGCAATCACCAGGCAGCATAGGTACCAGATAGAGAGGCAAGCACCAGGCAGCATAGGTACCAGATAGAGAGGCAAGCACCAGGCAGCAAAAGTAGAGGGAAGGGAGAGCGGGGAAAAACAGAACCCCCAGAAGAGAGGGGAAAAGGCAGGGTGCATGCATTAATTTCAGATTTGCATAATTTGGGAATTGTTGGGGGGGAG